ATGTTGTGGTGTGTATCCCACGAGTGGTTCTACTACTATTGTCAATTTATTTTATTCTTTCACTTATTATTTATTCTTCGCCTTTCTTCTCAATCTTCACTTAACTATGAACTCTCATCACTAGACAAACTGTCACCCCTTTATGCTATAGGTATGTAGATAAAATAAAGAAGCTGTCCTTATTTTGGATACCTATTTGTATGGTTAAAAAAGGCTTGTAATAAATATCCAACTTATCAAAATCCTTTAAAATCTAAAAATTGTTACTGCTTTTACCTGTAACTGATTACTGAACATATGTATATGGTAATAATTATGGTACAATTTATCAAGTTTAATATTTTAAAAAATGAAATGAGAAGAGCGTCTTTGCAAATTACTAAGAAGCCTTTAGGTTTTATTGGAAGCCAGTTTACGCAATGCGACACTTGTAAAATGCCGTTTTGAAATTTGTAGCCACTTTCAATTTTCTCAATAATACTAAACATAAAAAAATAATACTAAACAGTTATTTTAGTAGCATTAAAAAGATATCCTTTGCTTCTATTTTAAGAACTTTTACAAAAGGCATTTGGGAGGAAGAAAATCTTGTCGAAGTCCCACTGAAAATTGTGTAGGCGTTACATTAGGTTGTTCAGTCTTGTAGGCGGAATTTCACTTCAGATCATATTGCCTTTATCTTTACTAGTGGTTATGTTCGTTTACTATGATAAAACTTACAAGCTTTATTTTCTTATCAATATTAAAACGAATTAAATGTACACATTTTAAGGTTTATTTTTTGATAAAATCACTTGGTTGACATTAGTTTCATTAAATTGCGTATAACATAATTTCGCAAATACTTACATTCGTAAAGTCACTGCTTGCATTATGAAATTATATTATACTAGCGGATATCTAGAAAAACACTAATAGAAATCTATTAGTTCCCACGGGAACCGTTCATTTTGCCGGAATGAAAAGTAACCTGTTGTTTGGCCGACAATATAAGGTATCAGAATGTTAAATTTTACTAAATTAGGTGCATAAGTTGTTGTGTACTAAGTTGTATAAGATACTATAGTTTTTAAACTATCCCACGGGAACTCTTTAATTTTCTGGGATGAAAAGTATCTAAGATGTTGACCGGGGATATAAGGTACCACCATGCAATATTTCATTTAAATTGGTTAAGCATTTTCGGAGATTAGCCCGTACAAACATACAAACAGACAAACTGAGAAACAGACATACAGGCAAACAGACAAAATTTTTAATAACTATTGTTTTGGGGTCTATATTGTGTACATAATACGTTACAAACAAACAAAAACAGATTTATCCCACGGAAATCGTTCATTTTTCCGAAATGAAAAGTAACCTGTTGTTTGACCGGCAACATAAGGTATTAGCATGCCAAATTTTACTAAATTAGGTACATAAGTTGTTGTGTACTAAGCTGTAGAAGTTACTATAGTTCTTTAACTATCCCACGGGAACTCTTTACTTTTTCGGAATGAAAAGTATCTTACTAGTTGACCGAGGATATAAGGTACCACCATGTAAAATTTCATTTAAAGCGGTCCAATAGTTTAGGAGATTAGCCCGTACAAACAAACAAACAGACAGAAAAACAAAAAAAAACTGGATTTGTTCTATTTTTATTCTTACGGGATGTAAGAAGATAACTGACTCGGTTTTTAGCATTTTTTTCTATGTACGGACATTCGACCTCTACAGTTTTATTATATTTATATATAGAATAAATAACGCACAATAAAACAGTAATATATAATAATGAAAATAGTTATAGCGACTATACCTTAGGAGATAGACATATACTATTGAGAACTTTTCTATCGACCTTTTTAAGACTTATAATTTTCTTGTACAATGTTTAGATCTATCTCTTAAGGTTGAGCCAGCGTAAGCCATATAAATTTCTAAGGACAATTCGATAGAACCAGTTATTGTGTTTTCCCGTGGGAATGAATAATTTGCCTATCGTAAAAAGTATCCTAAATGTTGACTTGAGTACTAAGTTATCACTATACAAAATAAGTTAAAATCGATTCAGTACTTTTTGCGTAAAACGCGCACATCGATTTGACTAAGTTAGTTTTATTATAGGTATAGATAAGAATAGATATTGCTTAGGAGATATACATATACTATTCAGAACGTTCCTGTAGGACTTTTCAAGACCTACAATTTTTTAGTATATTGTTTTGATGTATGTATGTTTTAAGGTTAAGCCAGCGGAAGGTTTCTAGGGAGGACTCGATAAATCCAGTTATTGTATATTCCCGTGAGAAAGAAAGATATTTGAATTTTGAAGTAAAAGGTATCCTTAAGGCTAATAAGTCATCACTTCACTAAATTTCGTTGAAATCGGGTCATAACTTTTCGCGTGAAAGGCGCATACAAGAACAGACAGACAGACATACAGGCAAACAGACAAATTTTTTAATAACTATTGTTTTGGGGTCTATGCTGTGTACATAATTCGTTACAAATAAACGAAAACATCTATCACGCGGGAACTGTACATTTTTCCGGGATAAAAAGTAACCTATTTGTGACTCTGATGTATGAGTTCATACATTATATTATTGTAAAGTTTCATCAATATCCAATCAGTAGTTTTTGTGTACTAAGCTGTATAACACAGTATTAGTGTTTTTCTAGAGGCGAACCCGAGCGAAGCGAGGGTGAGTCGCTAGTTTTGCATAATGAATTATGTAGTTCACAACAACATACCACGAAATTATAAAAGAACGACGAACATCCCATCCGACAATCTTGGAGTGAAGAAATTATGAAAAATGCTATTTTAGAAGTGATAGACGTAAAATATGGATATCGTCTGGCGTCTCGAAAAAAATCCAAAAAGAATAAGGTTTCAGACGATAAGTGATGATTGGCTGCAATGTCTTAAGTGTAAAGAATAGGCCCATGAATGCTTTACTTGTTGGGACCAAGATGAACTGGATGAGTTCCATTGCTTTCTTGTTATGGACAAAGTCGGGTATAAAAAGTGGGTGTACCCGGTTATGGACCAGGTTCGGGGCAAAATCCCCCCCAACGTGCGTTCACCTTGTCGTGGTGGGGGGGCTCAGTAGTAGTAGCAAAGCTAAGAAACGCACAGGGAGGTTGCCCACTTCGGTGGGCGGTGGGAGGTGGACCTCTTCGGGAGGCGGTGTACCTTGCGGGTTGCTCCTGGTACTTCTCTGATAGCAGAGTGGACCTTGGAGCAACCCCATGGTTGTTGGTGGTCTGCTTTGGCAGACCTACCGTCGGGGCGTCGTAGTTGAATGCGTAAGCGATCCTGCGACGCCCCATTATGACGGGGGAAGATTTTGTTGGGTTTTAGTGGGTAGTACTGGCTGTATTACGCCGGTGAGTCCCACACGTCGTGCGTAAATGCATTTCCCAACGTTAAAAAAAAAAAGGTACGGGGCAAAACCCTAAAAAGTTAACTTTTGAAAATGATCATTTTTTTTCTTTTAATAATGAAAACAGTGATCTTATTGATCAAATATGTAATTAATAAGTTAAAGTAAACGAAGTCTAATAAAATTATTTTATGTTTGAAATATTTTTTTTATTTAATATTTCCCTTAGTGTTCCGGTTTTACCCCACTTTCCCATACAAATAAGCTATTCTGCATTACGTCTAAACATGGGTATTAGTTTTGTAAAACGTAACGTAATGACAATCCAGCTGAACGTCGCGTCGTAAAGTTGTTTTCATAAGGAGCTGTTATGTAAAATAACTAGCGGTTTTGTAAAACAGCGGAATCGACAATCCATCTGCGATATGTATTGCGAAAACGTAAAAAAAATATTTTAGTGTGTAAATACGTTAGTGATAATAATAATACTCGGCGGTACGGAACCTTCGATGGACGAGTCGAAATCATACTTACATTTGAAAATCATTACAGCCATCAAATCATAAAGGTATAAAATAAAGCCAAAGAGTTCGTTTTTTTATAGTTTGAACGCGGGCGAAGCCGCAAGTACTGCTAGTTATATATAATAATGACTTTGGTAATCTAAGAATTATAACACAAAGTACCTATAGGTATAGGTATTATTTGATATATCAACTGTGTGAAAAACTATTCTAAAAATGTACATAGTAAGATGGTAGGACCTTGATCATAAAGTTAAAATTTATAAAGATTAATTATAAATACTGTACTATTATTGCCTCAGCCTATTTCGAAATAATATTAATAATTTATATTTATTACTTACTTATCGTTATTGAAATTCCATGTTGCTCGTCGTCATCCGTAGTCAATATTTATTAATAATAAATGTTTTCTTTTATAACTAACCTTCAGTTATTTTGGCTGCACGTGGAGCTTTAATAAATGTTAGTCGTGAATCATTCCCTTTTAAATGGTATATACATAATGTATATGGGTAACTAAATTCAACTATTTTTTTATCAATATCCACTAGTTTTGCCTGCACGATATTTAAATTATCGTTAATAATGTTAAGGTTAAACTCGTTGCTTTGAATGTGTGACACATGAAAGTGCTCAAAATCATATCAGTACCTGGACGAGATCTATTAATAATTGATATTTTAGGTACTTATGCATTAAACTAACATCTGGGGCAGCTTCTGTTTGTTGCTTGTTCTGTATTACTTGTTACGAGTATTTCACACAATCAATATCACCTCTATATTTTTTGAATGTCCCTAATAATGATGTCATATAAAGTTCATTAAAATAATTGATCCAGCCCTTATCTTGTTCAAATTGATAAACAGGCAGATAGAAGGGGACAAGAATAAAAAAAATTGTCTTTGCCCTGCTATATTTATTTTAGTTTTGTAACGTAAATATTCACCATCAATCAATAATTTCAATGTGGATTACAGAATTATCGTTGGTAATTGCAGTTTGGTAGAGCTTGCTTGCTTATCTTATCATTATATCTGTACATACATATAGTATGCATACTAGCAGTCCTGTTGACTGTTGTAAATGTTAAACCATGTTACTCTCAGGTGCGCGTCGCACGTCTCTACCAACGCTCGATGCGGGGCACGACTTTGAAACTTCACTCGGCAGTAATTTAGCTGAGGTACGATTTCAATAATTTTTTTCTATATAATATGCTCTCTTATTTTACGCTTCCTTTACTTGTTATTAGAACCTTCTTTACATTTAACAGTTGACTAGAATAGAACAAGATCAAACAACGTAGTTTTCCTTTTAGATCTGCCTGCTTAGTCTTTTTTTGATGTTTACGTCATTTATACATATATATTTATTTGTATTCCATATCATAACTTTAGATATGAGAATTGATTCTTATCACTTAATGTTGCTATTTTGATGAAAATTCTTTATTATTATTATCATAATTACTAGATATGACGTAAATCTTTTAACAAAAGCATTATAATCCTTTTTAATCTCTTGCTAATTTGTTTTTTTAAGAAAACATTTACACTCGAAACTTTTATTCAAGTGAATGTTAAATACCCAAATATGTATTTAGTATTTTAGTATAACATTCGTCGATATACGACGCCATAACCTTAATATTTTTAATTTTTATTCAACGATTGTTGGAGAGTTTTCGTTATAACATCGAATGTTTGAAGCTGGAAGCGAATGTTTACATAACTCACGTATATTATTTCTAAATATTATTTATTTATTACTGCGCGAATTAACTGACTTGAATTGATTTTCTGCAGCAAATTAGGTAAATTGTGACAGTTTTACATAAAATCATTTTTGTTTATTTACGAGTAATAAATTGAAATATTTAAATTAGTTATAAAGACGCTAGCTCTAGTTTAGTTATATGATATTAATATTAGAGGCTGCTATTCGATCACCCTCAAAGATGATATCAGGGAGACGGCGCAGTGGTCATCATAATAATTTTATTTGTTTATCGCACAAGGAATTCTGATTTACTGGTCTAGGTTAGGTGAGAAACTTTAATCACAAAATTTTTATTATTTTTTATTTCAATAATGTTTAACTGTAATAAAACATACATATAGGTACAAGCTAGGACTATACACCAATGTGGTAGAAGAACAATTGCAAAATTTGTCTAAACCGGGTATAATACAAGTATTTCTTCGTTTAAAAATGTAGATTTTGGAGAATTAAAATCATATATAAGCTACAGGACAATATTATTTATTATTAATTAAGGTAGTCCGGATTAAGGTAGTCTATGACAACTGAGGTAGAGCGAGATTTTTTTAGTCTATATGCTATTTTTAAGCGAAATGTCAAATTGCTGTGAGATGAAAGAGTCCTGAGAGGAGAAAGGACTAAGTATAAAGTACATGTTTATATTTTACATTATATTAGCACAATACAAAACTAGAATGTGAAATTATTGTGGATGAATGACAACTTTCATTTAAAGTTCTTTAAACAGTATTGGCTTTTATAGTCAGACAAATTTCATAGAGCAAGATGATATGGCACTGAGCATCTCGTAATAGTCTCGTCTAATAGCTTTATTTTAAGACAACATTGAAATTTGTCATATTATGTTGTAGTGGATATTTCATCACAAAGCTCATTCATATTATTTAAAATCACGACCTACAAGTATCTCGGTCCAGGGAGTGCTCAAAGCCGAGACAATGCTGGTCGTTTTGCCTCGGCACGGGCGAGTTTATTCCTTCGATGTGTGCGTGCTCAGTTCACCGACGAGCCGTGCGGCACACAACTGCATCGGCCAACATTGATTCGTGGTTCGCAACTCGATGTCTCAGTCAGTAGTGCGCAACGCCAGGGGTAACAAGTATTTGACGTTGCGGATTTATTATAAGTTTCATTTTATGCAAATTTGAAATTTAAAAGAGAAACCTGTTTTAAATCGTATAAGTACTACTTTGTGAACGTGAGCGTTTTGAGTTATCGTTAGTTTCTATAGTGAGTTTATCGCTAGACACTCTATTATTTGATTCTTGTGTTGAGCAATATTCTGTTGCAGTGCTTGTGCTTTTGATAGAAACGGACAATTTCGTCGCGAACGTGTTCCAGTTTGGGATTTCACCACGAACGGGCTTAAGGAAGTTTATAGTCAAGTGAGTTATGATGTCATGAATAGACGTGCTCTACACTGTTATTATGAAAGTCATATTTAGCTATGAAGTAGTTGTCAATCAATGTTTTTTGTGACATGATCGTTTTCTACGCTTTATTATACAATTTGTTCGTGCCTGTTGTAAAATAAAACAAGTACAAGTGCGCGTTAGACGTTTGATTGTTGATATCGTACGATTTTGGTCCTCTGTTCCACGTCACACGCACGGCGGGCTGTCGAGCTCTTATCTCCATGAATTTCGAACTTAATTTAAATTTCGTATGTACATTTATTTGTACACGTGTGTTTTTGTCCTCACTGTTTATGCTTCATATAAATCCATTAATTTTGTTCATAGATGTTTTTATTCATTGCAATTATATTCTTTATAATCTGAATACAAAAATCAAGTAGAGTATATCTCATCTCATTTCCGTCTTAGAGCACTATTTTAATAGAATTAATTGAATTTATTTCTTATGTTCCGACAGTTATATAATATTTTTTTAAACATATCAATAGTAATAAAATAACATTAGATTTTATAATGATTACTATAGTGGAAAGCAAATGTTAACGTAAACTCATTATTTTCATTTATCAATTATCATAATATAACGAATGAATTTAATTTTATAGTGTACGTTCAATTCTTTAAATAGTATTTGAAATACAAACAAACTTGTTCAAAACTACATGGAAACTTTTAATCTCGCGTGATTTGTTATGTTAACATAATAACGCAGACACAAGGCCGCGGTTTGCGTAAAACTGTTTACTCATCCTATTGTCTCTAGTGCGATAGTTACTACTCCTCTAGACAGCTAGCCTCTAGCGTCTTGCCTTTGACATTGCTGCCCACCTGAGCCTAAAGTGCAGTAATAGACATTTTGGTCGGTTTTGAGTTAATTATATATTCAAAATCCCCATTTTAGTAGCTATCAGTCGAATTAATTCTTTTTTCTGTAGCGCTAATAAAAGTATTTTATTTTAATGTTTTTTCGGAAGGTGTAACAGAAAAAATATCACAAATCTGTTAAAATATTCCATGTTTACCAGCTAAACCGCAGTACAATTTAATACTGCACAAGATTTTTCTCTGTTTCCTAACTAAACTGCAGTGTTTTATCATATTTTGTGGCACTTAAAATAGTAGTTTGTTCTAGGAGATTCAAGAAAAAACTTATTAAAATGCAGTATTAACATTCCATACTGCACATTAACTTGTGGGGGGTTTTGTAATTTCTTATGAATAACTAAAAGACATGCAGTATTTAATAACTTTACTGCAGTTTAACTTGTAGGATGTTTTGTAGTTGCTTGTAAAAGACCATTTAGTTTACAATATTTATAAATTTTACTGCATATTAGTTAGTTTGCTCCATCCAAGTCATACTACCTAAAATACTTAAAGTCAAATACTATTCCCTAATACTGCGTTTTAATAGGTAAAATTATTAAAATATTAAAACACAGGACAGGCAATATCGCGGTTTGAGGCAGTCCTTCTGTCTGTCTGTCTCAAGGATCTGTGGCTTAAGGCTGACTTGACATGCCATGCTGTGTCTGTACCAAAGAGATATGGAGGGTAGAACTAAGGAGAACTATTTCTCGTATAAAAGTGACCGCTGACAAGCATTAAATTGGTGGCGCCACAGAAAACAAGTATATGAATCTATACATCTATACAGATAAATAAAATTGTAGTGTCTGTTTGTAATGTCAAAATAAACCTTTTCACTAAATGCATATGAAATTATATACGGTACTTATAAGAAAAACTAATTTTTAAAATTTTTTGTCTGTCTGTTTGTTCCTAATAATCTCTGAAACGGCTGGACTGATTTTGACGGACTTTCAGTGGAAGGTAACTGATGTTATAGGGAGTAATATAGGCTACTTTTATTTTTTAAAAAGAATTAGAGTTCCGCTCAAAAAAAAAAGTATCCAGGGACGAACCCGAGTGAGGCGAGGGTGAGTCGCTAGTTTAAAACATAGCGTCATAAAAGTAAGAAGGTGAATTAAACAAGGAAAGAAAGATTTCCGCTTGCTGTGGCGCACTTTTCAAAATAGTTCTAGCATAGGCAAACAGCACTATAATTATATATTATTTTCAAGTAATAATAATTCAGCACACTTCACTCCGTTTAAAAACTACTAACTTCACATCACATCTACTTGCTACGCTAGTGCTGTAACGGTGAGTTTCTGAGCTATAATTTGCTGCTCACTACTGGACACTTTTTCAACTTGTTTCCCATATAAGTTAATTCTTCTTGGTTCTCCCTTCCATAATCTTTTCAGACTATTATTTTTGTAAGACAAGAATATTCATTTAGTAATTAGTTATGTTCAGAAGAAATATTTTATGTAAATTTTATTGATCCATGCATGAGAAATACATGTGATATAGTTTTATGGTGGATTAACTAGTTAAGATTATCAACATCTTGTAAAGATTGTTATATTGTTAGTCATATAAAACAATTTACACTATTAGATTATAATGTGCAATGTTTTGATGAATAGTTTTAATAGCATAGTCATAAATGCATGTCCAAACTGGACTGTTTAAGAAATTACATATTTTTATCAAAATTAAAGGTAATTTTATATTACTATAAGTGTGGAATATCAGTGTTTTGTTCAAAAAAAAAAACAGATTAAATAGCAGTATTTTCATATATTTACTGCACTTTAGTTAGTAACAATCATGGAAGAAATGTCTAAAATGCAGTAATAACAGGATTTACTGCATTTAAAACAGTTTTTGAAAACATTATACAAATAAAGTGTGTGTAGTAATAGGGGCTAAAAAATTAAAATTGCCATAATTATAGTTTTTTATAAAAAAACTAACGTAACAATGTTTAGTATTTTAGTTTGGTACATATTCTTTCACTTTCCATTCAAGGTTTTATCGAAAAGTCTCTTTTTGATATATTTTTATGGATTCTAAACTTTAGGCACGTTTTTCTCGAATTCGTGTTTTTGCTGTTACTGCACTTTAGGTTCGGGAGGGCAGATTGCTACTATAACTTGACCGGATTATATCTCATTGCCTTTGTTATTTCACATATTATGTCAATAACTCATTAATCATCATTGCATCGTTACATTTTGACTAAGATTTTTTGTTTGCAGGATAGCAGATTATGCTAATGTTTATAAGAGTTATGAGTAATTTATAAGATATTATATAATATATATTCATATTTATAGTTTTTTTTCTATGAAAGCCTAACGATTCTAACGCTTTTGTCATTTTAAACATTGGCATTATGTGTGGATTTATAAATAACGTATGTATATTGGAATTTACCTACCAGGAAAACGGAATATTTTTTTTTTAATATGTTGGGACATTAACACACAGCACCATCTAGTTCCATGGTAAGCTACGAGGTTTGTGTTAAGAATACCAGATAGTTGATACACTACAAATATGTATACATTTAAATACATGTTATAAATAAATATAAATACCCATGACTGGAGTACAAACATTCGTGCTCATCATATAAATGAATGCCCCCAGCGGGACTCAAACCCGCGACCGCTGGCACAGCAAGTAAGGTCACTACAAACTGAGCCAAACGTGTTGTCAAATATTGTCTATTTGTTAAAATTATTTTATTTAAACTTATTGTTTGTACCTAGTGACTATAGGTTTCCGGGACATTATAAAGACTAAAATTAATTTATACGTTGTCATAAGTGTTGTCCGTAGATACAAAAGTAATTTACCTTATAGCAACCCTGATTATTACTGCGGAAGAAGTTTAGGCTTCCGCCGTAAAATTTGTTACTTATCGGAGCTATTGACCTGCTCCATTTTAATTTCAATGACATTATTATTAGCTTGATAATACTTACATTGTTCTTGCAATGAAGTTCAAGGGCTCAAGTGCAGGTTTATTAGGTCATAAACTTCTTTAACCTGATCTCTGCCTTAATTTTTTCACATTTGCTTTCTTATCTTCAATATATATACTTTATTGATATTGTAGCAGGTACGTTGTGATAATATTTCGAGTTCAGAAACAGTGAAAGTGGCGACGCGGACTTGACCTGCACGACGCCCCACAACTCTTTAGTGTCGCAAGAAAACGCTTATCCAAGGAGCTCTAGAAAGCCTCTGTTATAGAGACTATGTTATATGCACAGTTTTGTTTTATTGTTATTTCGCAACGATAGATGCAAGTGCATTTCCTAGTTATAGAATATAGATTCACATTTTACGTCATACGTAATACTACCTATATTATGTACATATCTTGAAAATTGTTTGAATTACAGATATCTTCAAATTATCATAAAGATTAAATGGTCATAGATCTCTACTAGTATACCAATTACTAACACAATAAAACTTAAAAGTTTGTATAGGATATTAATTTTATTTATTAATATTAAATATCGGTTTTTCCTTGTGTTTTATTTTTCAAAAAACTGCGCAAATTGCTCGAGAATAGTTGAAAGGATTTGTGCTTTGTCTGATTTAAATCTGAAAAAGATTTTGTTTCCAGTCTGGTTTATGCAAAGATATATGAAGCGCGCTCCTTTATAAGCGCTTGCATGTAAAATGGGGGTAATGATTGCGTTGTTTGTGGATTTAAAAATAGTTTCAATAAACGCAGCTTATTAAAAAAAAAGAAAATTGCACCCAATTGAACATATTAAGAACTTGTTTCGAAGGAACTTAACTCTGAGTTTCTAGACAAAGCTGATTAAGGAAGACTCCCTTATTAGTATGGAACAACAACAACAACTTTTATAAATGATGACAAAACTGCAAAATCCTAGTAGACTAGCACTTGAAAAATAATTATGATCTTTTCAGGGTTTTTGTAAATTATTTTCGCTCTAATAATTTATTGGTGGACTGGAGAAACATTTGGCATCAATGAAAAACACCACGTGTTGTGTCGCGTGATATTGCAAGTGCTACTTTCAAAACTACTATTAATAGTAATTTATATTCAAATTACTAACGACTTC